CCCGCAAGCTCCCCTTCCCGCCCCCCCAAATACCAGGTGAGGTTGGCCTTGTTCAGCTCCCAGAGGTAACAGGCGGGAGTGGAGTAGAGAACATTGACGCGGCTCCCGTTGGCCTGCTGCTGGGGGGAGGTGTCCGTGTGTGAGCCCTCGGGAGTCCGCACCTTCCCAGGGGGCCCACAGGTGTGCACCGACATCCTCACACACGTGTGCACGCATTCATGCATGCGGGGGGTTCAGATTCTCTTAACACACATTTTGAGCGCAAAACAGTGGCCAAGTGTGAAACTGAATTCTGCCAGAAGCGAAATATTACCAGCACGGAAAGAATTTCACGGATGCAAGAATAAACCTGAAATTTTTACTAAGCTTGTTTTAAAAATTCCAATCGTATTATTATTTTTTTTAATGTTTACTTATTTTTGAGAAAGAGCGAGAGTGCATGCATGAGCTTGAGCAGGGGAGGGGCAGAAAGAGAGGGAGACCCAGAATCCGAAGCAGGCTCCAGGCTCTGAGCTGTCAGCACAGAGCCCGACGCGGAACTCGAACCCACGGACCGTGAGGTCATGACCGGAGCCGAAATCAGAGCCACCCACCCAGGCGCCCCTCCAATTTTATTATTAAAAATGTTTGTGGAAAAACTAAGTGTGACATTATAGGGCGGGAATAATCCCTCGGCACTGTCAGGTTATTGCTAAATGACACCGCTGTTGTAATTAAAGGAGGCACACTTTCCGCTGAGGGAGGTGGAGACACAAGAAGGTGACTTCTGTGAAAACAAAGATGTCTGTTCTGCTTGTGCTATGAACCCAGTGCCTGGTATACAGCAGGTGCTCACTAAACACTTGAGTGAACGAAAGGAAGTGAGTGGCACCACATGCCTTTATGTGCGCGCGCGCGCACACACACACACACACACACACACACACACACACACACACACAGTATTCACTCAGCAAACAATCGCTTGATTCTTCAATATGCTCAGGATTTCAGACACAGTCTAAGAAGCAGAGGCCAGCCCCACTCTCATGGAATTCGCAGCCAAGTAGAGGAGAGGCATTGTGAACACAGTTGGTTATGATCAGCCTGGATGTGGCATCACAGGTATTTATGGGAACTGCGTGTACACAGCGGAAAGGACAAGAGCTCCAACTGGAGTTTGGTGAAGCCTTCCTGGAGGAGATTTCGCAGCTTGTGTATTAAAGAAGCGGAAGGTTTTATTTCTACCCCAAATAATAATAATAATAATAGTAATAATAAAAAACAACCATAATATTATTTACCCGACACTGTTCTACTAATCTGTGTAAATGAACTCCTTAAAGGGGCCCTCGGGTGGCTGAGTCGGTTGAGTGTCGACTTCAGCGCAGGTCATGATCTCACGGTTTGTGAGTTCGAGCCCCGCGTTGGGCTCGTTGCTGTCAGTGCAGATAACCCGCTTCGGATCCTCTGTTCCCCAATGTTTGCCTGCCCCTCCCCCGCTTGTGCTCTCTCAAAACAAAACAAAAGACATTAAATAAACTCATTAAACCCTAACAGCCTTCTCAGGTGGGAGCCACCATTGTGCCCACTTTCTAGAGAAGACAACTAAGGCAGAGTGCTTAGAACCTTTCTCAAGGTCCCTGAACCAAGAAGCAGCAGGCTAAGGATATGAACTAAGGGGCTCTTTCCAACAGAGTGTGGAGTGGGCAGAGAAGCAGTGAGTGGCAAGAGAAAAACCAGTGACAGCCCAGGAACATGATATTTATAGGAGAAAGTGATCAAGGTGTTCAGGTCTCCGCAGGGTCATGGGGAGGACCGAGAAACGTCTGTTGGAAGGCCCCTGGTGATGTTCCTGAGTGGGTTTGGTGAAACAGCAGTGCAGGCAGTGAGCGGAAGGTGAGGACGTGGAGACTGCCAGCAGACAACCCTGGGGATGGAACTGATAGGAAGGGACATTTCTTTCTTTTTTTGTAAACGTTAATTTTATTTATTTTGAGAGAGAGAA